AAAGGAGGCTCCCTTTCATACCTAGCAGCTAATTGCGTCAGTGAAGGCAATCTGGCTCCTGAGGACGGACGATCCGGAGGTGGCGTAAGCTTTGATTCTGTCGATGGATCAGACGCTGAAGTAGGGGTCAGATCACTAGTAGTTGACATGGCCGTGGAAATTGTGTCAGCGGCAGTGGTGGAAACCAAAGTGCAAAGGACTCTTAAATTAAGGCGTCGGTGGCAAAGCATGCAGAAAGCGCGTCAAATACAGAGATAGAGACAACTTCAATGCATGAAACCCCAAGGACGCTTTTCTCCATTATTAGGAGACTTGCCAAATATGGATAGTTGAGCTTCAACTCCGACCACATCGATCATTCAAGTCCAACTACCAAAATGAGAGGCAAAACTAATATTCTTGTTGCTCTGTTAGCTGCTACCTGGAATCTGGACGGAGTAAATGCATGGGGTGCCGCTGGTTCGTGTGCTAATGTTGAAGTTGTAGTCACCGCTCACTAGGCTGTAGGTCATGAAATTACGGCGACTATTGCCCAAATGTATCTTCACCCGTCGGTTTTACCACAAATTTGCGAATTGGTTTACCCCTATACTCCCCCCAAAGAGCCATGTCATCTGGCACCTATCGCAACATGGGCCGACCGGATCAGAGGGCTTGGTCAATATCGCTGGGCGGCCCCATTCCATTACGTTGGAGGGCTAAATGACTGGCCACCAAGTAACTGTGTGTTCGGAGAGGAAGGTTGGGAAGGAAAGGACGGTGTAAACGTCCTCGGGGGTATATGGAATACCACACGCTGGCTGAAGGACGGGAATAGGAACCCAGGTGAAGCTGTCAAGTTCCTCATCCATTTCCTTGGGGATTTGCACATGCCACTGCACCTAACGGCAAGAGAGCGAGGCGGCAACAATATCAAGGTTCATTTCCACCACCGTATCACCAATCTTCACAGCGTTTGGGATGGCCGTCTTATATCCAATGCTATTCTCGATACTCCCCACAACTATACCCGGCCTTTACCGTCCCCGCAAATTGAGAACGCCTTACGAGGGGCAATCTACGACCCTTACATCCGGTCCATTTTATGGGAAGGCCTAACTCATCAATGGAAAGACGACTTGGAGGAATGGATATCTTGTCCGTCCATTGACTCCTCGGAGCCG